GATATTATTTAAAAAATTCACCAAAAATCAAATTATCATTATGTTCATATGAAAAAATCACGTACATTTATTAATATCTTTAGTTTAATAGTTTAGAATAATTATAATTCCTTCCAATTATAAATACCTATTGTTAGCAAAAGGTGGCAACAATGCACTCTGAAAATAAACGGGCAGTTCTTTATAGCTTGTGCGGGAGTAATTTGTGTCTCCTTGCTGCTGCTGTTATGTTGTGTTACGTATTGTGTTTTTCATATTAAAAATCTGATTTTAATACCCACAATGTCGGCTACCAATGCTATGTGCTTATTATGTGAAAAAAAAAAAAACTTTCAGCAATGATGCGATGAAGCCGGCGAAAATGAAAGACCGCTTGGAAAGGATCCATTCTGATAAGAAAAACAAAGATTTTGAGTATTTCAAAATACTAAAAGAGAAATTGTGAGTTATATATTAAACATCTTGATAAATTAAGAAACGACTTTAAAGCACGTTTCGAAGACTTGGAGAATATACATGTTCCCGAATGATTTGCTAATCCATTCGATGTAAAAATAGATAATGATGGTAGTGTATCTGGATTAGAAGATGAACTGATTGAAATATATGTAGATCTCGAAGCCAAAGCCTTTGTTTAAAAATAAAAACCTCAGTGAATTTTAGAGCAATAAAAATATTGCCACTAAATATCCCAAGTTCAGAGAAGAAGCCGAACCTTTCTTACTTGCATTCCTAACTTCATACGTGGCTGAAGCTGATTTCAGCCAAGCAATTTTGACAAAACGGAGGAAAAGATTGAACTTGGAAAAGCGTGGTGATTTGCGAATAAAACTTACCAATTTTCAACCGAATATCAATAATCTTGCCGCTTCTCTTCGGACACATCCATCCCACTAATATCAACTATTTTAATAAAAACGTATGTCTACATATTTTAAGGCATTCAATTGTAGTCGCAAAATGACAGTAAGAGATTTTTTTCATCCAATATAACTTATGTTATGTTTTGAAAGATAATTGTGTATTTTACGTATTATGACACGTACGGTTTAAGAACTATAAGCAAATTTCCATCTATTCATAATTTTGCTATTTAAGATTATAAAAAGGTGGAAAATATCTCCTTTTTCTGTTAATGTAATTCGGTGGATTTTATAAGATATGGGAACTATAAATTATTTCGTTGGATTGTTACATATGCAGGTCTCCTTATTGCTTAACATTAGAACTGCAAAAATGAAGTAATGTGTTTGTTAAATACTTAATCTGGCGGTCGATAAGAAGGCAAATATTCTATAAACAGGATAAAAAGTTAGGGGACCCTTAGTTTAGATAAATATATGTTAAAATAGCTGAAAAATCGAATAAAAGGAATGTCTTATTTAAAAATGAATTTCTATAAATGAGAAAAAATTTTCATATTGTTATAGTTTCCATTGGATAAAGTTCGCTGTCTGAGGAACTTGGGATGCTTTGGAATGAGACATCCTTTCGCCCAACCTAAAAGACGTTCCATCAGAACCAAATTCCTTCTGTATACCCATCAAGATCCTTAGTTTAACGAGATTTTGATTCCCGATCAATTAGAAACCATCGGCAGTTCGAAATTTAACTCCCAATTGCCAACTAAAGTTATAGTTCATGGATATTTGGATAGCACCCTTCTAACCACTTCGATGAAGGTAAATTAGTTTCTAGCATTATTGAACGTGCGATTTTTCCGTTCAGTTTAATAAATGATGTTGTTTTAGAGGTTGACACACGAACTATTGTGGATTGGTTTATAGGAAGCACCTTTGCATCGTACGCTCAAGCAGCGGCTAATATAAGAGTAGTGGGAGCAGAAATTGCATTTCTCATGGAACGTCTTCAGGTAATATCTTGACACACCGGTTATAAAGAAAATTTGTTTTTTTAGGAACGTTCTTTATCCTGCAGCTCGTTAAGGGGGCTAAATTAGAGACTTTTCATCTCATCGGTCACAGTTTTGGAGCACACGCTTGTGGATATGCGGGCAAACGACTGAGCAATATCGGAAGGATAACGGGTAATTCGAATGTGATTCAGCCAAATTTTTTGTAAAATATTAACAATCGATTTGATATCTTCAGGTTTGGATCCGGCAGGTGCTTATTTTCGTAACGTTTCTCGTAAGGTTCGATTAGATGCTTCGGATGCGATGTTTGTCGACGTTATTCATACGAATGCAGCCGAATCAATATTTAAAGGTATACGTTTCAATAGAAGTATTTCCTGCATATGGTTTTAAGGAAAATTTAAAATATGTGCGTATTTTAGAAAGTTCGTGTTGCGCCCATTCTTTTAGAATAAATGTAACTTATTTATTCAAACAAAAGAGGATTTCACATCATAAAATGTCGACAATGAAATTTACGTGGCTCAATAACTAAAAGACATATTTTGTATTTTTATAAATGAAGTATGAATTACAGTACGACTATAGTGAACTGCTTCTTTTCGGTTACTTCCTCCCTCTACTATATAAAAATGAAAGTATAGGTAATCCCCTTATAATACGTGAGTTACGTTTCAAAAAATTGCCGTTTTATGCGAATCCGTGTTATACGAAACAAAGAACTAGTGCGAAAAGGGGGGTTAGGTTCCAAAAATTGAAAAACATGTTGTTAAATCCTTATTTAAATCGGATTTATTATTCATTTTTTTCATAGGTAAAATACTTATTTATTATTTAAGTAAATCTTTTACCAGAGGATTATTCATTTTATATGATGATTTCAGCTTGAGCCTCATCAACTGGTAACAGTTTTTGGATGCGTTCGTTAATAGCGGTCGCTCTGGAACGGGAGTGCGCTGCTGTTTGTAGGCATTTAGGAACGACGGTGAAAGAAAGATGGCGGCGCCTGCACTATCGATAGTATCGTGTGGAGGAATCTATAATTCTAAAATGAGCTTTTAGAGGCATAAGAAGGCTCCCAATTATAAAATTTAACCGTTAAATGGATTATTTGTTGAAAGAGCATTCAAAGTAGCCACGAAAACAATTAGAATGCTCGCGCGGAGTTACGCGGAGGTATAAAAGAACGCATCCTTTATTACATTTTATGTTGTACAAGGATTTTACTCAATTCCCGAACCGTGTTAGAGTGAACCCGTGCTATAGAAATTCCGTATTATACGGGGGATGTTCCCAATTCTCGAACCTGTCAAAGTGAATCCGTGCTATAGAAATGCCGTGTTATACGGGGGTTACCTGTATATCGCGAGAAAATCATACAACTTTACGTGGTGTACTTTTTAATCATAGATGTAATTGGTGATATACAGTGTACAGGTTAACTTCTGTGTAACAGGTTCTGTGGAATATGCTTGTGCGCGAGTAGACTATAGGTACAGTACAATAAGTATCCCATTCATTCCTCACATATCTTATTTCGTCGGCGAGTTCTGAATATTTAAAAAATTTTTTGTTTGCACGTAGTAATTTATATGTGTACGCAATACGATAGAATGTCGGCAATTTAGTTGTTTGATAGTTCGACATGTCCAGTAATCTAAAATTAGACTATTCTCTGGTATTGACACTGTTTCACAGGACTTGGCAACAGTGCTTCCACTAGTTAAAACTCCAGTTTGTATTAAATTTGAACACTTCCATTAAACAAAGCACGATGTCGATATTAATGATTGTTAAGTTCGACATCCTTATCTGGCCATTTGGAGTTTTCTGTGTTTTCTCCACGTCTAAAACGCTTAAATAGGGGCCAGTTTCCCTTAAAAAGACTATCCGGAGGGCACCCCCAGCAGATCGCCCAAGTGTTGCGTTGTCATAACCAAACAAACCAGCGATGACAGCGATCTCGAATATTTTTATCAGTAAGTCGTTAATAGTTGACTACACGCTTTCAATTCCTTTATGTGTCGTTGAATTTACCTTACTTCCAATTAACCGACAATCTCCTTAATCAGTGTCAAATTACCGAGATTGTAGTATATTACTTTTGTTATTTAGTTATGTCAATGTAAGTAAATCGATGCATATAGTAAAGACTTGTTAATTAATATGGTATAATGTAGTTTGTTGTTGTCGCGAGATATTCTAAGAATGGCGGTTTTTATCTTTCTCGATTAAACAGTGGAAATTATCGTTAAGTATTATGAGTAAAGCACGATTTGTCTTCGATATTTTTGACTATTTGGAAATATTTTTCAGGTTTCGGGACGAACGAAATGATTGGCCATGTCGACTTCTTTCCTAACGGAGGTCACAATAATCCCGGATGTAAAACTCTGCGCGAAAAGAAAAAATCTAGGACCTTCTTAGAATGTAAGTAAATGATTCTTAACATGGTTTTCATTGTGTTTACTAAGTACAGTTCCTATGGTATATGGCTTGTTCTCTCTAGAATGTTATCTCGCAATCCACGTGCTACCTATCTCAATTCGGATCAGGATCTGAATGAAGTGTGTATAAGTAGACTAAAATAAGTAATTTACAAATATATAGTAATGGGTGTTGAAACAAGCAGAAATTCAAGCCATTTTGTAATACAAAACTGTGATGATTAAAATAGGAATCAAACTCGGATTATTCATTTACAATAGAAGAATACGTAACTGTTGTCCAGAGAATATAGATTTTCATCTTGATTATAAAGCAAAATATTTCAGGTAGGCAGCTTTATATATTGCAGAAGAAATTCGCTAATCCTGTCGGGGACTACTTTATTTTTAACCGTTTCTGCTAAGTGCGCCTTTTGAAATCATAACCATAGTGAGTTTGGACCACATATCAGCCCCACATTGGGTGGTGACCGTGTGGTGAGGAGCGACCCGCATACTTCCCATGAAAAGTGTAATAGATTTTCTACCTCTCTGATTTCCATCTTGGGATTCCCAAAGCGTAGAATGAGCCCATAAACGCCCGGGCATTCATATGTCGGATCCAATGGAACTAGAGTGGTGCAGGATTATCGAAAATGCCGGTTTACACACGCTTTTATATTTTGGCAAACTTCGATATTGTAAGAGATCTGATATTACTGTACGTTTTATTGGAATCTGTCGAGTGCATAAAATAGTTGAACACTGGTAATTGGTCACAAGTACTCGCGCAGGTCACGTGGTGTTTTATGAGTTAAATTGGGGCCAGTTTGCCATAGAAAATATTCAATGGAAGCATACTTCCTTTGGTAGGTCTCCCATCTATTTCATTGTATTAATCAACAATTCCATGAATTGTTAAAATATAACAGTATTTTGCTATTCTATTTATAAGTTTTGTATATTTTTCTTTTAAGTACTGTATATTAAATATCAGATTTTTCTTTTTCTTATATTTTCAGTCATCAGACCTCAAATAGAATGCGATCATAGACGTGCCATAGAGTTCTTCATCGCATCCATTAGATACCCGGAATGCTTCGTTGCTGTTTCGTGCCGTAGCTATTTGGATTTTTCAGCAGGAAGATGCAGTTGCTCCGACGAAACACCTTGCGTTTTCATGGGATTTTATGCAGATCAATTCGAACATCTCATAAGGAATACATCTGGCATCTTTTATCTAGATACTAGTAGTGATTATCCTTACTGTGCTAAAAATAGACTTATTTTCAATTATAGTATGAAAACTCGGTCACTTAGAAACCATTAATACTGGAATTTCACTACCATAGAAAAAGGCTATAAAGTTATTTAATATCTGTATTAATTCTTTTGAATTACTGTATTTCTGTTTCAGGGGCATGTAGTTGATAATATATTAATTATAAAACCAAATATATTTTTGTATTATCCTTTATTATGGATGATTTGCTGTTTTTAAGGTAAATTACGCATACCGTGTAAATCAACAATCTGATGGTATGTATATTACTTTCTTTTAAGAGAAATAAACCCATAGATGACAAAGTAACATTGTTCGTCTTTTCGTTTCAGTCAATGAGTTAGAATATATTACATAGAATGACTGTGAACTCGTATACAGCGCTCTTCGACCGCCATTTTACTTAAAGTGTATTATATAAGTGATATAAGTCTAGATTGTTTTATCTGGAATTTATCAATTTTTCTAAATTTTGTTTAATTATTATAAAGAAGTAAGATTAAAGTTTAAAATGACCAAGAGTATTTCTTAATATAACAATATTTTTATAATCTAAATACGAGCTAGATCTTCAAGGAGTTTAGTTTCGACCATATGATTGATTATTTATCGTATACTCAGGTCATTCTGATCCTTACCATATTCAGTACGTTGTTGGTATTTTTTAAACAGTGCTAAATGAGAATATAAAAAGTGTTCTTGTTTGTATTGTAATTATAGTTATTTTGTGAATATTTTAGTTTCATGTTGTGAAAATATTTACAATAGAAAACTACATGCAAGTGAAAGAGATTGATAAGTAGAAACTGCACCATTAGGATGCACCATCATTCTGGATAACAAAAGTATATTAACATGGACTAACCTTTTGTTCGTTATGTTGCAGACAACAGCCTTAGACTCTGAAGCCGTGAGCCTGAAGAGGGATTGGAAAATTACCAATCCGAAATGCATTGTTAAATAGTGAAAATAAAGTGAACTGTTTTAATCTTGGTATCTGTTAATTGCTGATAATTAAGAAAGACATGATAAATACCACTAGTCTCACTATTAGAAGAAGAAAACTTTGTTTACTTATAACTTTTTATATTTTTAATTATTATCGAATAACAATAAGCTTAATTTTGAAGGAATTCATGAGTTAAAAACATTGTAAACGTTAATATTATGTCCGATATTTCTCGAGATATGACTCATGACACCCCTCTATTTCTTCTTTTCTATAATATTAAGGAGCTATGATACTATTAATGAATAATAAGGATTATTGATGCTATTAAATTAATAAAGAGCATATATGGTTTTTATTAATTTAATAGCTATCGTACGAAATTTGGTTACTTATAGAGGCGAACACAAACATACATGAAATATTTCTTCCAATTTTTCTTAAACTTTTTTGGGTTTAGGAGGACTCAAAACGTGGAGATTTACACACACAAAAAAATCTGAGAGTCAAATTTGACACGATTCCAATGCTTTCGTTTGTTACGTGTATACAGTATAACAGCCAAGAAAATAAAATAAAAAATGTTTAACTTATCATTACAGAATATTTTGTCTCGTTTAGAAACGTTTAAATAAAGGGTTAAAGAAAAAATGTCTTGTTATTTACTTTCAAAATTGAAAAAAATTGATTAGGGTCATTTTGATTCACACCATCCTAGTAAAAAATTAAAGCTCTTCTTTTTCTTTGCACACTTTTGCACAACGAGTTAGAATAATTTAGCTGATTGCCTTTACGCAACACAAATGGCACTCCTCTTGACTAAAAATAAAATGGCGGACGTGTATTCAGTTTTCTTTCAATCTGGCGTCGCTACAGCCATTATGTGTAGTATATTCTAGCTCGTTAGTACGAACAATATTATTTTTACTGTTTCCACTTTCACAATCACTTTTCTTTGCATACTGAAGCAGGCAATTTCCTTATTTCGTTATACTAAGTTTTTTTTTGTACATGCAACGAAGTAACGTTATATTTAAGTCACGAGTATAACTTGACATGTTTTTTCTGGTAAGAAAAGCATTCATTCGTTTAATAATATTAATTATATTCAACATTTTTAATGGAATTTCTTGAAGCTATTTATAATTAATTCAGTGATTATATTCAATCAAGGGTTGAAAAGTTGTTTCACATCTTTGAGTAAATTTCTAAACAAGACTAGAAACAGAATTTATTGATGTGTTGCTGATTATTTTAATGGCATTTCTCTTAACAGAAATAAAACACAGACAAAAATATAATTATTGCAATAGTAAATTAAAATTAGTTATTTGTTTATTTACAACATTCGTATTTTGTTTTAAGGATTTTCTTTTGTATTTTAGACTTGGTTTTAGAAGTGTCTCCCCTTTGAACGTCATATTTTCCCTTTAGTTATCGAGTCGTACGAAGAATGGAGTTAGATAAATGAAAGGCGAAACCAGATATGAAAATCTTAGGGGCAAGAGACCCCGATTAATTATATGCAAACGTATAATGCGAAACTCATGTCACGTTATGTTAATTCAAATATTTTACTCTGAAAACAGTTAATAGATGACTGGCACGAATCTATTGGTAACAGGAAAAGTATTATGTATAGGGGCAAGCCACTACTAATTTGTGGCGGAGAGCATATATTTTAAATAAAATAAAATAAAAATACGATTAAAAATCGCTACACGACATTGCGACGATGTTACAATAAATAATTGCTCGTTTATATAAGATAATATTCTTCTTGTGTTAGAATTTCATCAGGTTTTCTGTTGCAAAGATCGTTACAGAAGTTACCAAGAAATTAACATGTTACCAGATATTACCTCGAGAATATTTTAAATTGTTATATGAGGTTTTTACTTCTGTTTGTTGAAAATTTTTGAACCAGGTTGACAACCAACAAGTCACTTCTGTTAATGGACCTTGGAGTCATTTCAAATGAAGTGATGTTCAGTCCCTATTGATAATCTACACAATGTCTTGTTAATTCTGTGAAATGTAAACACACAATAGAAGGAAAGGAACAAGTCGTACTTGACGTATCAAAAAGAATTAGTATAACACCAGAATAGAAGTTAGTTTGCAATAGGAAGATCACCTTGTCAGATTGTCTTCGTATTGTGTTATTTATCCAATTAATTAAGCAACTAATCTTTTTCCATTAAACAAATGTTACTTATAATAAATAAATAGATTGAATATCTCCTTAACTTTTTGTTTATACATAATATGTTTATGTTATTTTAAACAAAATTTATTACAAAAAGTTTAGCGATTTCTCAATGCCTAGTTACTTTTCACCCATCCTGTATTTTTTAAAATATATGTATTAATTTTGTTTTCTTGAATCAATAAGCATAATTGTTTTCTATAAATGTATAAATTATAATTTTATTTGTTTAATAAATTTAATGATTTGACATGAAAATGTATTTTATCATCGCAAAAAGATGTATAATAGGAGACAAATCCTCGACATAACCTCACGTTCTGCTGAAATATATTAAATATTACACATCAATTAATATACAAAATAATTACTGAAAATAATCATTAGATTTATATATGTATATAAACTTATTAATATGTAAAATTCATGTTATAAACATGCTAATTTTAGAAAAGAAATAGCCATAATGGTACCATGAGTGGAGATAGAGCCCTTTGGGGAAGCAAGACATAAAAATCATAGTGCAAATACTTAAATTTCTGCCAATTGCTATTCCATTGTTTCGAATAATATCACATAAATGGTTTAATATTTATATTAATATTAAGTATCAATTTTAAAATACAGGCCACACATTTAGTCTAAGTTTCATGCAGTAAGACGTATTTCTTGCACTAGAAAGGTCTATGTGATACTACTTATGATACCATAGAACGTGGTAGCCAGAAGCACAAATAATTCAAACGTAGAATAAATAATAAATATTCAACCAAATTCTCAATTGTACTGGAGAATGGCATGCTTAACTAATTATAGTGCGATATAACACATACCTTCTACAGAATGGATATTTGCTACCAGTTTGGAGGTAGAAATTTCTGTTTATACCCTTGAATGGCGTTCTGTAGGTATATTTATCGGCATGTAGTCCCATAACAGAACAGGGGTTGCTTGCGTTACACGTANCAATTTCTGCTTCCACTACTCTTATATTAGCCGCTGCTTGAGCGTACGATGCAAAGGTGCTTCCTATAAACCAATCCACAATAATCACGATATAATCTCCGACAGAAAATAGTTCGTGTGTCAACCTCTAAAACAACATCATTTATTAAACTGAACGGAAAAATCGCACGTTCAATAATGCTAGAAACTAATTTACCTTCATCGAAGTGGTTAGAAGGGTGCTATCCAAATATCCATGAACTATAACTTTAGTTGGCAATTGGGAGTTAAATTTCGAACTGCCGATGGTTTCTAATTGATCGGGAATCAAAATCTCGTTAAACTAAGGATCTTGATGGGTATACAGAAGGAATTTGGTTCTGATGGAACGTCTTTTAGGTTGGGCGAAAGGATGTCTCATTCCAAAGCATCCCAAGTTCCTCAGACAGCGAACTCTATCCAATGGAAACTATAACAATATGAAAATTTTTTCTCATTTATAGAAATTCATTTTTAAATAAGACATTCCTTTTATTCGATTTTTCAGCTATTTTAACATATATTTATCTAAACTAAGGGTCCCCTAACTTTTTATCCTGTTTATAGAATATTTGCCTTCTTATCGACCGCCAGATTAAGTATTTAACAAACACATTACTTCATTTTTGCAGTTCTAATGTTAAGCAATAAGGAGACCTGCATATGTAACAATCCAACGAAATAATTTATAGTTCCCATATCTTATAAAATCCACCGAATTACATTAACAGAAAAAGGAGATATTTTCCACCTTTTTATAATCTTAAATAGCAAAATTATGAATAGATGGAAATTTGCTTATAGTTCTTAAACCGTACGTGTCATAATACGTAAAATACACAATTATCTTTCAAAACATAACATAAGTTATATT